TTGTATTATAATTAATGGTGGGACCACAACAATTCGAATTTTCACAGAACCCGTTATTTTTCTGTGATATTCTGTGCTCAGCATTATATATTATACTTCATCCTATATTATTGTTATCATACAAATTAATTAATTTTTAATATAGATCTCTCGACAGTTGACACAGTCCACTTAGTTATTAGGTAAAGCAAAATGGTAACACATTTAATTATATAACACTTCATAAGTGTTATACAATGTATGCAATTTACAGATAGTTATCTAAATAAAAAATATTTGCTGAAAATTATGCCTATTAAAAAGTCAAAACTAAATAAAAAAAAATCTACCAGATTGGTAGTTTTCGAATTTTATGGATTTTCTCGTTCATTATTGTTTTTTATATTATATTTTTATTTAGACATTAGTTTAGTAATGTTGCATTATTCAGTACATAATTTATATAGTTTTTTTTGTAAATCTAGAATTTAATAGCCCTCTTCCTATTTCAAACTAATTAGTACTTGAAGACACATTGAAATTAAAACTGACTCGAACTTTAGGTCCTACAGCACCACATTATTTTATAGTAGTGCCTGAAAAATTCAATTATCATCGCTAATTGTATTATTTAATATTTGAATAAATATTTTTAGATCCCGAGTTAACTGGATACAACCGTATGCGTTTTCTATTGGAAAGTTTGAAGGATTTAGATGAGAATTTAAAACTGCACGGTGGACGTTTGTACATTTTACAAGGAAATCCCATAACGATTTTTAAAAGAATACAACAAGAGATCGGTCTCGATTTAATAACTTTCGAACAGGTAAACATTAAATGTAAATAAATGTATTAAAATGTACATATTATTATTTTACACGCATTTTTCCGTATCTAATTAGGATTGCGAACCCATTTGGAAAAATCGAGATGAATCGGTCAAGGCGTTTTGCAAGCAAAACAATGTAGATTGGGTTGAAAAGGTTTCTCACACGTTATGGGACCCGAAGCTAATTATTAAAACTAACGGAGGTGTGCCACCGACGACTTATGAACAATTTCAAGTATTTAATGCAATATTTTTAAAGTTCTATGTAAAGTGCAGTCGTCTAATGTTTTTACCGTTTAGAGCATTGCAAGCAAAATTGGTCAACCCCCGAGACCCATGCCCAATGTCGATTTGTCATCGGTGAATTTCGAGAAACTCTCGTCGAACATATTGGATGAATTTAAGGTTAATTAATGTTTTTCAGTCATTAATTTAACACCGGACTGATTAGTTGCTAATCCGGCTAGTTTTATTCGTTACCCAATTGGCATAGTCTTAAGTACTCATTTGGCTATAGCAATCGATGTTGAAAAAGGGGAAATATTTTTTTCATAGGAACTAAAAGATCTAAAGCCGGAGTACTTTAATATACAACCCGAAATCGCAGACGTGTCTAATGTACATAACCGTTGGTACGGTGGCGAAACTAAGGCTTTAGAACAACTGCAGAACCGTATAAGTTTCGAAAAAGAAGCATTCGTCGAGGGGTTTTACTTGCCGAACCAAGTCAATCCCGACCTGTTGGGGCCGCCGTCCAGCATGAGCGCCGCTTTGCGCTTGGGGTGTCTCTCGATCAGAAAGTAAGTGCTATAAACGGACTTGGTCTATTTAATCGAATTCTTATAATTGTTCGGCAGACTCTATTGGGAGCTGTCCAAGCTGTTCAGCCAGTCGTTTGAAACGGAACGGTTGCCCCAGTACAGCGCAACTAGCCAGCTGATCTGGAGGGATTACTTCTACGCCTTGTCGGTGAACAATGACAAGTTCGACAAGGTAGAAGGAAATCCGGCTTGTTTAGCCATAAATTGGAATAACGTGAACGAAGGCGACAACAAAAAGCTATTAGATTGTTGGAAAAACGGTAAAACCGGTTATCCGTTTATTGACGCCGGGATGAGACAGTTAAAGCAGGTATTATAGCACTTTATTACATTTTAAAGTTTAGTATCGAAAAACCGTCTCGTTTAAATCAACATAACACTACTTGCACTTATCACACTTCGATAATCTGTTAATACCGATTTACACATCATAGTACAATATATTCTCAGCTTAGCTAGCGTCGAAGTTAATAAATGGCGAGTTAGTCATTATAATATAGGCCACATGGTCATGAATACTATTTTGGAATTTATAAAATTCTTCTATAGGAAGGATGGATTCACCACGTGGTGAGGAACTCGGTGGCATGTTTTTTGACTAGAGGAGATCTCTGGATAAGTTGGACCGAAGGGATGAAACACTTTTTGAATTATTTACTGGACGCCGATTGGGCGGTTTGCTCGGGCAATTGGATTTGGGTTTCTAGTTCGAATTGTGAACAGCTCTTAGACAGTCCTTTGTGCGTGGACCCCGTCAACTATGGTATGCGAATGGACCCTTCGGGCGAGTACATAAGGTATGCGATTTTTGCTGTTGTTTGTCAGAGACAGCTTTTACTTTTTTTTTTATCTTAAAACGGTATTCATATAATTAACGTTTTACAATTATTGTTCGCAAGGCGATACGTTCCAGAGCTGAGAAAATTACCTCGCCGTTACTTGTACAAACCGTGGGAATGCCCGGAAGAAATCCAAAAAGAAGTCGGTTGCGTTATTGGCCTAGATTATCCAGAACGATGCGTTGATCATCAAAAAGTCTCATATGAAAACAAAAAAGTAAATAGATATTTCATCATTTTTTATAGCATTAACCTCACTAGAAGCAAACTCTCTAAATACTTCGCAAGGGATATACAACAGATTTTAGTAGATTTCAAAACTTATTTCGGTACTGGCCTAAATTAAAATGAAGTGGTGACAATTAAAAGTCACAAGCAATTTTTATAGAATTTACAAAAGAACAAATTATACAATTATATTTCCGATGTATTTTAAAATACATAATTATATAATGAGGGGATTCAGATAGGGTAAATGGAAAACACAAACAGTTTTAAAAGAACACTATCATGGTAACTTGAGAGTTAAATGATTTCATTAAGTCAACGCAATTTCTTAACTTTCAAAACTTAGCTTTTACCTTAAATACGCAAGCACTTAAAAAAGTAACAAAAAGTCATAGTAAGAATATAAATTGTAATTGTCGGCTTAATAATATAAAAAAAACATCAAAAGAACCTAGATAAATTTCTCATTATTTTGAATATGTAAAAAAAAAACGTTCTACGATTATTATTTAGTCAATAATAGATAATGCTATGTTTAAATGAAATGTTATTTTAAAATCACTGTCAAAGATGCTATGATAGTCTAAAAAATAAATCATTCTTTAAATTAAGGTTTTGAAAACAAATTGTCTGTACTCCTTAATAAATAGAGGGTATGACGTTATCTGAAATCTTATAAGTTTGATGGAAAAAGAGAAATAGAGAAAAACTTTCTACTAGGTACTAAAGATTTTTCATTTTTATTTTTCAAAGTATATCGATACTATATCTGAAGAATATTTCACTAGATATATTTATTCGATTTGTTTACAAAGGACTTTTTTGTATAAAGTTTTAGTTTTACGTCACAAATACTTATAAGAATGCTTATACATTTCTAGCTTTGAATGAAAATATTGAAAAAATGTTGTCATGTTTTTCTTTTCTCTTATTGATTTTTAGAAAATGCAAGATTTAAGATTTTCGTTTATAAACACTAGCGATTACGTGCCATACTGTCGTCCAGCGAACGCGACAGAAGTACAAACGTTCATGTGCTTGAGTGATGAATGCATGCAAGAATTACTGTCAGACATACACAGCGAGTACGCAAACATATACTCCGATTAAAATTATTATTTATATAGGTACTTAATATCTTATCTTAACTATTATAACTATAATACCTACTCAAATATCTATTAAGTTTCTCTTGAAAAATAAATTATAATTTCTGATTATTTATACAATTCTTTAATTTTTTTCGGAGAGCATATTTTAGTTTTTATTTTTATCTATCTAAATTGGGTTGTATTTTTTTGTTAATATATATTTGACATTTATACATTACTTGATTATTATATAACTATTAAAAATACATTTTGCCGTTAAAAAATGTACCAACTATACATTTTGTTATTTATGGTACTCCAAGAAATATGCAAAGAATCCTTTAGAAAACTTTTTTTCCCTTATGAACAGTACTGATCGTTGTAAAAACAAACGATATTAACTTAAAAACTATTAAAAATATGAAACCTAAAATAATATAAACTTTAATAGTTTAATGAATCTCCTTAAAAAATTTAAAATTTCATTTAATGAAACGTATAATTTAGCTGTTTTATCAAAAATCATTCCAGTATCCAAAGCAGCATGTGAAAGTACGTTTTGATGTTTAAGAAAACTAAAGAATTACATGAGAAATTGTATATGTCAAATGATTGGTCGGGTTGTCATGTATTATTATAGAGAAAAAAAATGACCAAAAGTTTAGGCCTTGATGAATTTGTTGAAAAGTTGTCTACAAAGCATAAAAATACTTTTATATTAGATGCTTTTTAGGTAGCTTTATTAAATATTTTGTTTTGAATACTGATAAATTTAGAAAAAATTTCAATAAATTCATCATATTTTTGCTATTAACAAACTTAATTACACTGGCAAAGTGATAACATATGGTATTATTAGGTTATTTATTTCATATTTGTAGTAATAACGTGTGTAGGGCGTAGTCGCCTCCCTCTATTAGCCTATAACTCCTTATTATAATATAAAAAAGTCCAGAGTAACACTTATTAGTAACACTTTTTTTTCAACGTCCCCCGACATAAAGACCCACGCATCGCCACTGAGTTTAATGACCATAAACGCTGATGGATTTATTACAACACAAAGCATTATTATTGTATTATTACAAGTCAGTTATCATAGCAAAAGTATTGAGTGCATTAAAGTGCAAATATTCACACTATTCGCATTTTTAAAAAAAAATGATATTCGATTTTCAGCAATAAAGCTAATATAATTTTGAGTACTTACTTCAGGAAACACATCGGCTATTGATGCGGCCACGATGATCAACAGGACTACCAGCACGAGGAAACTCGTTAGATAGCTCAACAAATCACTGCAGACAAATTATACAATTTGAGTATGATAAATTATATTATTGAACTTTAAAAGCGTATTTTTTTTGTGGGTTTCATACAAACGACTGTTCTTACGTGGGCAACATGATGAGTTGTGCGGAAAACGTCAGAAACAACACTAGCGGACAGCCGATGAGAGACACGCCAGATGCAGACTCTTTGTGATATTTGTACTCACGTTCTTTGTTCTGGTCTTTAAATGTCAATGTGAAGTATTTCGTGTGCTTGTTCAAATCTCTGAAAACAAAAATTTTAAAAAATATAATGTGTCCTTGTATTAGAAGTTTTGGAAATGCTGTTCGAGCTTTTTCATTATGAGCAATTTAATTTTTTCATTTGGTAAACCAAAAAAATTATAGTATAAACAATGGTTCACGTCTTCACATTGTACCATTTCTGTGTCTTAGATCGGAATAATTCATTGGAATAAATATAAATAAATAATTTATGTTTATTTCATTTGTTTATTCGCTTCTTTTTTATATTTGTAATATAAACATTTATTGAAAGTCGGATTCTCGTCGTCCGATTGCAAATCTACAAACTGGGAATACTAACTAAAAAGGAAAAGCTTAATGGTCTTAGGATTCCAGTAAATTATGCCGGAGACACATATTGTTTTATTCCGAACACGTCGTCACGACGCATACCGTTATTAGTCGACGACGACCTTTTTCTTAAGAAAACGCCAAAAGATACGCTTTCATTACTTGTATAAAGAAAATCTACCGTTTTAGTATTGATAATATAGTTAAATTAGACTACATTTTTAAGCTCAATTAAAGGGAACGGTCGTTAATCATTTGTACCTGTGGCCGTCTCTATTCATTAGGTCTTTCCGGAGTCGTTTCTTAAAATTTTCCGATTCCTCTTTTACTTGGGCCATCAAATCGGAATTATCTACTGGAGTGATACACTGCAATAAAGATAACATTGTCAATTATAGTGAGGTACTGTAAAATGTATTTACCAACACTTACCACTGACTCTTTGCTGGTACTACTGTTCAGGTCGTTAAAGGAACCATTCTGTATATCTTTTTTGAACGGTTTAATCGTTTTGATAATGAAAAATGTTTTTATGCCAGCCATTCTTAACGCTTCTTCCCGTTTTTCACCGTAGCCTGGTTCTACTTCAAATTCACCGTTCAAAAAGCTCAACGTTTTTTCAGATATATGGACGCGCCTGAAAATTAGTCAATATACCTAGTTATTAAAAGTAACCAAATCCCAACAAAAGACACACTGTTTAACATTTTTTTTATAGCAACATCTATACATTGCGTACAATTCAAAAAAAAAAAAACCTCTAATTACATGCAACCTATTTAAAAGAGCCAACATCATTGAACAAAATTAAACCATTTTCAAGCAAATGTGATGTTCAAAAACTTTTTTAAAAGCTGTATTAATTAAAATAAATCTATTGATCACAGCGGCATGTTTGTAAATTTTCAAATAATATAGGAACAGTACGTTTGAAGTATAATTAGTTATTTTTGATAAAAAAATACGTAGATGTAGAGGCCCTTTAAATAAAATATTCAAACGCCGTTCCTGCATGTATTAATAAAAATACACCTATGTGTTTTATGGCACCGATGTATAAAATTCAGCAATTAAAAAAACTGACATGAAAAAAGATAAATTTACATTATGTTTTATTATTGAGTATATATTGTACATATATAATATATACTCAAGGGTATTAACATTGGATCAATTGTTCATGTATACTTACAAATTTTTTTTTTATTTTAACGACTATAAAAACAATAAAACATGCAATAAAGAAACAATTAAATAAGAAATCCAGTTTTGGAAAGGAAGGAAATTAGAAGGACGATAACGAAGGGACAACGGAAGTTTTAAAGAAGAGAGGGGTCAAGGGAGGTATAGCCGAACAAATTGAGATGGGAAAGTAAATTTTTTCTGTTGGGGTACAGAGTAGGACAGCCAAGGAGAATATGGTTAAAATTACTAGGAGCTTCATTAAGGTGGAGGCTACAAAAGGGTACAATTACAATTTAATAATATTTAATGAAACCAATCAATTTAAAAAAAAAACGGAAAATGTTGCAGAGGGTTCTTGTCGTTTTATAATTATGTCAATTACGGTATTCATTAACTAACCCGGGCATCCCGCTGCTCTCCATTTTGTTGGCCAACTCCACGTCTTTGGAGTATACATCGAACTGCCATTGCCTTTGGCCCAAAACGCCAGCCAACACCGCTCCAGTGTGTATACCCACTCTCATGTCTACCGGCGAGTTTGTCGTCTGTTGTACGTACCTGGTAAAAGCAATATTGGGTAATAATAAATTGACATTGTAAAACGCAAACCATATTATGTCGTTGGACAGCTCACTTGATGGCTTTGACCATTGACAGTCCCATGTGTACGCTGAGGACCGCGTGATCTGGTCGTTCTCTAGGTGCTCCGCTAATGCAATAATAACAATCTCCCAAAATCTTTATCCTCAGTTGTTGGTATTTCTACAAAAAGCAAACAGAATTTCATTAAATAAATAAATAAACTCTCTCATTTTGTTTTATATGTTATGTTCTATATAAAACTGTAAACATACTTCTGAAAGCCTGTCAAATCTGGCGAACAGCTCGTTGAGGATTTTTACCAAGTCTGATGCAGAGTAGGTGGATGAGATGGCTGTAAAGCCGACGATGTCGGCATATAAAATACTGCGAACATGCATGAAAAACAAAAATATATGACAATAAAAATATGACGAGAAAAGAATATTCTTTAAAAAAATAAACACAAAATAAAAATCGATTCGGGAAAAACTAAATTAAATATTTTTATCGTGTTATTTGTTTGCGCTATTTTTTTTTTTTTTGTTATTTCAAGAGAAAGAAGAACTTTTTAATGAGTGTTTTTCTCAATTATAAATATTTCATTTTATTGCGCAAAGCCAAGGTCCTAGACATCGTTTCTTAGATTTTTTTATACCTATTTTTGTGTAAAATAAAATCGACCATTCACCGCAGTTGTCCGTTCCGAAAAGTTTGTATCCCTGTTATGTTATTCGTGCCTGAACATTATTGTTACACGTTATTCAGACGTTTTTGACTTTTGTAATTTAGAAAATATGACCTATGTACCTTTTCGTCATAAAAGTAATACGCTTTAGCAAAAAAAAAAACCCCGTAATAAAATATTGCGAAAATTCGGAATGGGCTCTACTTTAAAACAACCAATAACTTTTTCCCATTTTGTTTACTAAAATAATCGTGCTCAGAAATTGTAAGTCAATAGCAGACGAATCGTTAAAACATTTTTTTTTTAGTTGTAAAAGGGGTTGATTGTTAACAAAGGGGTCTCGTTCATTTATAATCTCTAAAGAAGCAGAAGCAAGAGCGTCTGCTTTTAATCTGTAATTAATTTCTAACTACAGATGCGAAACGCTTTAATCCGTTTATATGCGTCGTAAAATAAATTAGCATCACCGAATGCTATGATACACAAATTGTTTGGTGTAACATGTTCTTGGAATCCTAATAAAAACTTTTTTTAAAAAACCTAAAAGAACCCTTTAAGTTTTTCATAAAAACTTTTAACATTGCAACCTTTTGAAGCTCAATCGGAACACATATAGTTCCGTAGAAATATCAATATCACGTTATAAAAGTTTTTTTATACATCAAAGGGATGGCTGGTGTATTTCTAAGAATTTACCAATTCTTTTGAATAGTATGTGTTAAGTATACGCGTTACGTATTCCAGTCCTCCCCAGGAAGCGCAGAAGCACATAATATGCTTTAAACAATATTGTTCCAAAAGTATTTTTAATTTTTAACATTTCATACCTCACGTTCTCGTGTCGACTCATGTAGATTTTTTTAAATTGACTGTCTAATGCCTCTCCCAGATCTTGTCTCATTTTTACAGCAACGTGTTCTGGTAATACGGACAACAATAGTCGTTCCTGAAATAAAACAACAACTGTGATTTTGGTATAATACATAAGTATATAATAATAAAACAACATATTATTATAATATGAATGAACACGCATGACCGTGTACGTTTGAAATAATAAATAACTAAACTTACATAATGTCACAATTTGTGTAGTTTTTTTTAAATTTTTAACGACATTATACTTCTTGGGCAATAAGTTTTAAATCGTTTAATGCAATACAACAATACCAAAGTTCACACTATTACTATATGACTTGTCATCAACGTTTTATTTAAATAATTTAGGCACACGGTACCTATAAAAGTATATTATCAATTTATGTTAAGTACACTATTCTAACGGTGTACGAACTAGTGGTTGCTATACAGCTTATACAGCTGACTTCAATAATTGAAGTAGTACCTATAAAGATTTCATTGTTTAAACATGTTTACTTTCATCAAGACTTGATATAGTTTGGAAAAAAAATTGATAAAACGTTAATTATTAATAACAAATTAATAAATATATACTGAATACTATTTTGATTTTTACAATGAAATTTTTAGAAGAACTTTTAATAAAATACTTAATTTGTTGTATTTTCTAAAAGTTGTAAGAATATGATTTATTCTGAAATTAGTGGTTCAAATTAAGAAGTCGCCGAATCGCTAAGTCCGAGACACAGGAATTTAAGTAAATCACTGTGTAAACATGTATAAAAGGATGTCAAGTTAAATATCGGTAGAAACAAGCTGCATTTAATTGCTAAAGATAATGATCAAAAATAATAAAAGTTTAGTATAGCTATAAATTATAAAACTTTTATTTCAAACAACCTACTTATACGGAATAATAACAATCTCATAAATCACATTTAATACGTCATAACTTAAGGGTTCCGTTTTAGTGTATGTACCTACATCTATAAATATAAAGTGAGAGCGTTTGTTTTTAAGTTTCGAAAAAGCTTAAAAACTACTCAAACAACTTTCATAAGACTCTTATTCTCTTCCTTATCATATTTCGTAGAAAATAGGATATGTATCATTTCGTCATCTCATCATATAGGGTTTTAAACAAATAACACGATTATTTAACACAAAATTGGCGTCAACATTTTAATAATGTTAAACATTTTTATCAGGTATAAATTGACATTGAAACATTTTTTTAAGAATGATTTTATTTACTTAAGTCAAACAACTCCTATATACCTTCCCAAACCGGGCTCTTTTTAAATAAAAAAATAATAAGCTTATAATCAATTTTCAATAGCTAATTAAGGAGTTGTTATCATTTTAAAACTTAAACAAAAGGTAATTAGTGAACAAACACACCATTTCGTCTGTACTTTAATATAAATAATGTATTATTAACTATAAAAGAGTGACTACAAGCTTTTTTAGGGTTTCTTAATGTATTTTTAAATTAAATAAATATTCAATTTTAAAAAATTACTTTTATCACCAGTTCAATATATCCTTCGAGGAATTTATAATTTTTTGAACTTAGACATTTTTAAGAAAATTATACATATAAAGTTTTCATGTAAATTAAAAAGCAGACTTTATATTTATGAAGACTTTGCTTTGTTACAAGAGCCAAATAAAAATGTCTCATTACTTACTGCTACTTTTTTCTGACAACATTTTATAACATTTATATTGTTATAATTTACAATAGAATATATACAATGAAAAAAAAAACAATGTACAAATCAATACCTAGAGCTTTGTTGAATTTAAACAATATGCCAGTTTTTTGTATTTAAACTTTTTTTTTAAATAAAATAAATAGCTTCAAATAGTCCGCATACAAAATATAATTTATTATTTCAATGCCTTAAACAATTGGAGACAATGGTTCGGATAAAAATGATTTATTTAACAAATTATAAATCATTCTACTTTTATTTCAAATAGTTTATATAAAAAAAACTAAATACCGACGCAAATGATTGACAGGCTGTACACAACCTGTTTGAACACAATAGTCAAAATAATATTATAATGATAACCAACATTGATAACTAACATTTAAAATACAATAATTCAATAATTATTATTGTCTGCAATCTTCAATTTACATACATACGATAGATAGTTTGTCAAACAATTTTGTTCGTGTCAAATTTATGTATGAACCTCAACAGTTTTTTCTGCGCAAATAGACACCTTTTCTTAAAAAATTCATTCAGAGACATCTCCCGATTTTTTTTTAATCAATTACCAAAGGCAATATTAAACATTTTGTAAATTTGAATCAATATAATACTGTGCGATAATTATCAACCAACATGCGGAAAAAGAAGCTATAATATAATTCTATAAAGCTGTATTATGGAAAATATTTTAGTAATAATTTATAAACCCTTTTCATGCGTCAATAAAGACTATTGAAATAATTTATGGGGTAATACAGTACGCTTATCTATGTGTTATTTGTAATTCGAATTCGCCAAACATAAAGTATTGGTAATAGAAGATAGCAGATAATTATTGTAAGCCATTTTAAAATTGGAAACCTCATCGCAGGAATGCCTTATTTCCATAATAATATTACTTACCGCTGGTTCTTTAATGGAAGCGCTAAATACATGCGCATGAGAAATATGAAATATTTAAATCATCTAACCCTCAAAGCACTCCGCTTGGAAAGTATAATTTGATTCTTTTGAACAATTATTCAGCCATTTATACACAGATCATTATAGAGCACTATTAGTCTCCGGATTGTTAGCACAATTCCCCATAACATGAAAGATGGGGTAAAGTGGTTTCAATAGGAATATTCTAGGGTAAAATTGAAAAGCAAACGAATTGTTAACAATTCAAATTACTTATATGGTTACTAAGTTATTGTTTAGTGTAATATTTGTATTATGTTCAAGTTTAGGTATACGTATTTAACATTAAAATACTTAACATATAAAAGTAAATCTTATTTCCTTTTTTTAATTTATGTTTGGCGACCGGCCACAAAAGTATAGGCACACGGTTTATTATGAACGCAATTATGTACCTATTTTGCATACATTTTGCGCCTTACTACGAACTCCAATGAGGTGTTAGTAGTAAAATTATAAAGCCTACGGAGTATACAATATTTAAATTATATTCATTAACAGTTTGCTACAGTTTTATACGAGCTAGCTGACAGTATTTTAAAGTTTATTGGATTACTTACAGTTAGATTTGGACTTGTATTATTTTTAATTTAATAGTAAGTTTTTTCATTTTATGCTCATCATACTCGCTGAACAAATCAGATGTACTTGTCGGTTTTTGTCTCACGCCTAATTATTTTAAGACCTACAAACTAATTTAATGAAGTTAAACTAATATACCAAAATAACTAATGAAATTAATTAATATACTAATAAAAATATTTCTCTTTTTACTTCTTTGATTTTATCGTGTAGGAATTTGCTGAATCGGTTCCATTCGGTTTTATCGGATGGGTGCCGAGTTCTGTGCCAAATTCGTCTTGCTCGCCACTTTTGTTGAACAAGCTCTCTGATTTCTTTGGGTAGGTGAACTCGCGGTCGTTGCCTTTTTCAGCTTCAGGTGTTGCCGTTTTTGCCGCTTCAACAATGTCATTAGTCAGTTTATGTACTACTATTTATTTCAATGTCTGTCGACGACTTTAACCGCACAGAAAGAGTGATAGCTTCTTCCAGAGTATTTCTAAACAGGTCCCAGTCTGTGTATTTGTTTGTTAGAAAATATTTTCGTTTTTTCATAATGACATTTGAGCTTAACGATAATAACACAGGGATGTGGTCGGACGTTAGCTCTGTTAGTCCTTCAGCTTCAACATAATTAGAGGAGATGCCTTTAATTACGAAGAAGTCAAGCAGGTCGGGGATTTTCTTAGAATCGGTTGGCCAGTAGTTTGGTTCTTTGGTTGAAATCATTTCCGCGTTTATAGTGTTAGCTACTTTTAGTAGATCACGACCTTTCGAAGTGATCAGTCTTGATCCTCAGTGAGAGTGCTGGGCTTTGTAGTCACCACCAGCAATGAACCTGTCTCATGCGCATAGGTGTTATTTGTGGTTCCTCGGTTTACTTTCCTTTGCTGAATACGCTATACCGCAGTTGTCTTCATTAGATATCTTCGTTCTTCAGCCTTTTCGTAAGCAAAGCCACCCTTCCAGTTGGCTGTGTGAGCTTCTGTACAATGTGGCTTTTGATTTCTTTGGCTTTAAACCGATTTCTGTTCTATGATATTCGCCACATTTGACACAAACAGTTTCTCTATGACAAAAGTTGTGTGTACGTAAAAAGAATTGACAATTTTTCATTGTGGCACTTTTTTTTTTTTGAGGTTTCACTTTGATTTTGTGGTAGTACAGACTGTCTACGACGTAGATATCTTTGTTATTTGCTCGCGGATCTAAGTCCACAAAGAACAAAGGTAATTTTGTATACTTCCTTCGCTGTTTTTTTTTCATTTGGGTATTCAAAACCTCGATTCCAAAATGACCTAAGACAGCAAAGTCTCTTTCATCTCACAAATATTAGTATCTGGATGCAAACCTCGTAATACAACATGACATTTTTTTTCCGTTTTTAGCTGGTACCTATCTGGTGATGAACACCAATTTAGACATACCTACATTAAACATTTTAGACGAAAACAAAATTGAGTATGTCTAAATAATTGGTGTTCATCAGCTGTTTGGATTTTTATGCCGTGGCTAGCAGTTTCTTCGCGTGTTAAAAAACGAATTAAATGTTGTATATTTTGAACACCACATGCCGTAATCGGTGGTGGTTTATATATTTTAGGCACAGTTCCGACAGAAATGTTTTCGCGCAATTTTACGCATTTATTCGGTGGGCTAAAACAAACACCTAAGGCCTGAGCTAGAACCCGTTGTAACTGTGTAAGACTATAGTTTTTATTGGCTCTGCAATCGTGCGATATTCGCTTGTAGATCTAACGCCCTTTTTTTAAAAAAATTGTCATTAAGAAATTTTCATTTTGTATGCTATTTATAATTGCTTGAATCAATAACAATTTGATTTTGCGCCCGGTTGATTAGTATAATTCATGGTAAACGATGTACATGCCGTCGCACCGCTTGCGCGTGACCTAGTTGGTTTATGTAAAACACTTAACACTCTTCCGTATTTAGCGAAAATATTTTTCATGATACAATATGTATTAAAGACAACGCGTAAATTCGCTACTTGAAAGAGGTACTACGTGTTACTCGTTCGATAAACAAAACGCAACTTAGAAAATACTAAAAAAGGTAAAAATTTGAATATTGTCTAAACATAAACAAAAATGTATTAAAAAAGTATTACTAAAACATTTAAATTATTTTAAAAGGGTACTAGTGTAGGGCGCTAAAAAAATCATCCGGTACACAGTAAGAATCCGACACTTTTTTTCCTATCCTCTTTTTCATAATTTGACAATACACATAGTATATAAAAATTAAATTTCTGGACGATTAATTACGACATTTTGCAGTAACTATCATCTAATCTGATTACAGATAATAAATATTTAAAAATTACAATCAGTCAATGAAATTCCGGATGTCCTTTAAATTTAATGTATATTTGTTACAGTACTCGGTACCAACGAAACAGTATCGTATCCAAAAGTTTAATTTGAGAAAGGAATAGTTATTTCGGATTTAAGTAGTCAACAATTAGCGTGTCACATTCAAATCGGAAGAGTGCTGCGCTACTGGCATCAAATATATAAATGACTGCTATCAAACTGGTTTTACAAAACGTTGCCAAGTGGCAAATTATAAATTTAGCTACTCTATAGATCTTTTTCAACCTACGCTTTAAGGATATTTTATTTGAAGCATACATTTCTTATTGAAAAGAGTACCTCCTCAGCTCCCGCGCGTTCTCAATAATAAAAACTTATAAATGTAAATCGTATTACCTGTTCGGCTGATTGTTCTTCAATGACCATTTTCATTTCGAGACATTGACGAGTTTCGAGAAACGCAGTCCGCTGTTGTTTGTCAGCCAGAAAATAGGATAGCAGCCCCAAACAGTTTGATGCCAACAAGAGCACGCTGTTTGTCGCCAACTAAAAACAAATAAAATAAATACAAAATTAAATACGGGTAATACGATACAATTAAATTATTTTTATCCTTCGCTTATTTAATAACGTACTACCGGGTGATTATTGTAACGACCTACACTAGTTGACTCTTAAAATAATTGCAATTTTTTAGTGCTTTTTTTGAAAACATTTTTATTCATGCTATATTACTATTTGAGGCAATATTCAAATTTTTATCTTTTTCATTATTTTCTAGAGCTTTATCAACTTTTGAAACTTAAATGGTAACGTATATATTTTATTAATTTTTTTAATTAAGGGCCTTGCTCATAAAAATTGCTAAGCAAATTTTTGGATTTCGGTTATATTTATTTATTTGTTGCGTTATTTGTATTACCTATTAGATACAATTTTTAAACTAGTCTTTTCGTTACTTAAATTATTAAGTTAAAAACATGGGTTACCGAAAAAATGCTCATACCTCGTAGAATAGTTGGATTACAATTATTAAATTGTTCTTAGAAAAAGGAAGACTTCCTTCCCAGTAACTTGTCTCAGGAAAGTTACTGAAAACCAAGGAAAAAAAATAAGTGTAAAACTTGTGAAACTTGGACATATTTAAACTTTTATTATAGCGTTTAAGAATAGAAATTTGAAAATCTAAGTTCAAAGCACTCTGTAGGAATGCTTCCTCTTTCTAATAAAAAAAAAATATATATATATTGTAATCGGACTTCTCTACGAGACGTGAAAGTTTTTTTCGTAATGCATGTGTTTAGCCTAATCAAGTGAGTCACACACAGGTCCCTTAAGAATAATTTTCTGAAAACTTTAGCTCTAGCAAGGGCTAAAAAATATTAAAATTTTAATGTTATTTTTATTTATGTTATATTAGACATATTTATATTACATTTATTTATATTAGACATATTGTACTATAACATAAATAAAAAAGAAACACTACAAAATTGAAATTACTTTATGAGTAAAATAGTGTAGGGCGTTAAAAGAATCACCCGGTGTACTAATCTGAAACCCAAATGCAGTAATTTTACACAAGCAAAGATGGCTTATGATTAGGATTAAAGATTTTATAATCATAATAATAATATTAAAACATGATAATCAACGAGAGACTATATATTATTATGCACATGCCGTTTACATAAAAGCAGTCGGGTACATCTCGAAACTGTTTCGGGCGATACGGCTATAATAAAGTGGTGTAATGGAATATTGCATACGTGCGTTCATGGAACCGTGTAAGACTGCGTTTTTCATTTCACGGTGGATTACGAATGAAAAATAATAATAAAAAAGTAAAATAAAACAATAGACCGTAGCCGTTTTGTTCAACCGAGTTATAGCATCCGACCGGTTGTCGGCGACGATTTACGAGGAGCCGTTTCTTTTGTTGTACAAAACGCCGACTGGGCAATGCGATGGGGGTAGGAAAATATATAGCTACGGGGTCAGAATAACTGCCACTGTATATGATAGTACAACACTTTATTCCTCACCGCTATCTAGTCACTTTGTCACATGCCACGAGCGAACCACTTTTGAACGAATCGCACATTTTCTCCGCTGCACGTGGATATGGTTTTAGATTAACAAATTCCCCTCCCCCAGTGGCGGATTTGAAGGGGGGGGGCGATGGAGTGAACGCCCCTCCCCCCTTGGCCCGAGTTTTGGCACAAGAAAAAAGTGGTTGTAATCATTTTTGACCATTCTCAAAAAAACGAATTTTTAATTTACGAGATCATTTACATAACATATATTTTATATATTAAAAGGTTATAAATTTGATTATTTTATACTTTTTTCATCCAAAATATGCATGGTGATAATAAGGCAAAACCTTGCAGTCGATATATTAGTGTATAAAAATAAGCAAAAACATTACAATTTTAATTTATGTGTCTTGAGGGAAATAGCATACAAAATAATTGTGGTGTTTTATTATTTTCAAGTGAAAATAAATAGAATCAACAATTATTTTAAGCCGAGTTTTCATCACGACCCCCTTTAGAAGAACCTAAAAAGAGGAATATATCACTCCAAGTCCACAGACCTGATCAATTAATCTGAAATCTTAATTATACCGGTTAGGAAATTTATATGAGAATTACCTACAACATTTTACTGATAACTAAAAAGGCAGTGATTTCGTCTAGAGGTCATTTTTAGTGATGTCTAACAGAAGCTTTTGTAACGTACAGTTTGAAAAAGACCAATTATATAGGCACAGTATTACGCAAAGTTCCAGATTTAAAAAGTAAACTCATCCGAATTTGACTCCTTTATAATATGGGATAACGTTGGCAATTTAGAATGGAATGTAATTTGAACGGTTTAGTAGCGGTTAAACCTACTAAATTAAAAATAAAGTAAAGTATGTAGTACCTGTATGAACCCAGGCTTAGAGGATTAAATGTAGGTCTGACTTCTATAAATGTCCGCCGTCCAATTTCAGTGCCCATGAAAAGATTAGTCTCTCAATCCGTCTTTCATAAAATTACACTATAATGTGTGTCTCGTATACCAAGTTGAAAATAGTAAAAAAAAAGGATAACACGAAAATTATTTCAATCTACCAAATTCGGAATTTATCAATAATTATTTGTAGCTATGTACAAATATTAAAGATTATATTATTTTTAGAGAATAATTAAAAACAACTTTAATATGAATTAACTCGATATTTTATCATAGTATAAAAGTTTTTATTTTAAAAACTAGACTCACTGCACAAAATCATAGACGCGATATCGATTTTCAAGTTATCAAAAACTATGTAAATAGGAATAGAAAAGTCTCTCCAACAGCAAGCATTGCGTTAGAAATTAAGTCCATGTACTACACTTGATTTATAAATGTTGTTATTTATTTTTATTCAAAAATAAAAAAACTACCACTTTTTGAATTATTATTAAATTTAATTGTTATTTAATAATTATTGAAATTTCAATTTAATAAAATACGCATTGATTATTATATATTTAGTTATTGCTCATAAAAAATGCTTAAAGGGGACATAGTGTAAAAAACAATTTCAGTAAGATTGGTTAACTTAATTTTAAACTTGTTACATCAAGTGGGTCTTTATTACTCGATGAATATGTATAGTGTTAACTAAGATAAATGCTTGAATTACAATTTTAAAAGCCCATCTTACATTGCTATATACGGGATTATAATTTTATACCTATTATGTGATCAAAAGTTGGAGGATTAAAAACAACTTGTAGGTATTTTTGTTTTTATTTTTTTGATTAACAACAAACAATATGTAAATAATAGTCATTTTCTAAATTCAAATACTTACCGAATGATTTATTAGTTATTACTACACTTTACATACTTTAAATGCATGTATTAACCGTAACGTCGTTTCATTCATCAAGTCATAATTGTTAGATTGTAATAATAATATTGTCATTTTTTTGTTTGCAATAATGAAGCCTGTACCCAATCAAACAGATAAGGCTCAACACGGAAAATCTAACATTTTTAACGTGCCGTTCAATGTGCCTTTACGCGGGCACGAATGGCTTACCGCTACACGATTTGTATGTTCTATTCAATGTCACTCTTATTCCATAGTATAAACTATTAAGATGCATAGTTTGACATGAACATGACTCATTTTTTGTGAGCCGCTTTTGTGACACAAAGGATGTGGCTATGAAGGGTTGGGCAAGGATGAAATAGTAATGCATGTGGATAGGATGATATAGGGGTAATTCGATAATTTCTGGATATGGACAAAAAGTTAATTGACAAGAGAATCAGCTAATAAGAGATGAGTGACAAAATAATTAGCTGAAAAGAGATAATTGATAAGAGACAGAAAATTAGCTGATTATAAGACGTTATGTTCGTGATCCAATGTGTTTCCTTCCCTTATAAGTAAATCGTTTCGATGTATGATTGAATTCTGTATACCTAGATGGACGTCAACGTTTTGGACTTAAATACTGTGTGGTTTTATATATTTTATCCAAAAAACTTACGGCTAAGTTCAATCGACTTATGCCTGAATCATTAAAAACTACTAGAGAAATAAAATGTTTTTTTCCGTCGCAGTAGTAAGTACTACAAAATTAAAGTTAATGATGAAATAACTATACGAGGTCATAAATATAGAATTTCCAGTGCGGTCAACGAGCTGCATACATGCATGTACAACGATGACCGTAAAACGTAACACAGCCGTAAAAGTTTCGTCTGATGTATAGGTATTGATTTATACGACAAGTCTATTTATATGCTCAATTCAAGAGACCGATACAAAAAAATGATTTTATAGTTATTACACGAATATATTTTATTAAATATGAAGGTTTACCTTTTTTTTTTTTTTATTAACTATCATCGTTACTTTTTTTTATAGTGATTTTAACATTTTCAGTAATGATATGCTTTGGTGCGACTACGGTAAAATATTTAAAAGGGATGTAGCTCTCGTGATAAATTTTGCTTGCAAATAAACAGAAGAATGTTTAAATATGTTAATGAGCAAATAACAATAATATATAACTTTTTTAACTATTCTTTGTCGGGGCGTTGTACAAATACCTCACACTGCGAGGGAAAATATAATATATTAAAACAAAACTTATAACTTAGGAATAACTTTATTTTATATGACCTTAGTTTATGGCTATTGAGTAAAACTCAAATGAGAAGTTTTTTAAAAACAGTTTGTTGTACATTTCTATCATTGATAATTTAAAATAGCTTTTATATAAACCCAATTAAAATTCGGATGAATACACATATTATTGTGCTTTATGAGCAAGTCGTTATTAATGGAAACAGTGTAAAAATTATTCATGTATTTTTACGGGAGATCTCTGTGTATTTGGAATTTACCTATTTTATTTGTCATCGTTTGCATAAACTCAAACATGCATATTAAAGCAAAGTTTCATTAAAAAAAAAACTGAAGATTGAATTATCACATGATAATGTGCAACTAGGCTGATTGCACTTTATCACTTAGAGAGACAGAGTTA